ACATTCATTAAAACCATTACAGATACCATTGCCATTACAAACTGATTTTGAATTGGATCGTGTTCCATTGCATGTATTCACACAACTCATAGCTCCATTGAAATCTTGTGTAAATTGAAGAGTTGTACCACATTCAATGATCTTTCTAATCCTGTTATTTGATGTGTCTGCAATTAATATTTCATTATTATTTGGAGAAACAAAAACACCTTTAGGAGAATTAAGTCGACTCGCAATTGACAAACCACCATCACCACCAAATGATCCATCGCTACTACTTCCAGCAATGGTTGTAATAGTTCCATTCACAAATATCTTTCTAATTCGATGATTCAATGTGTCAGCAATGTAAATTTCACCATTCTGTGAAACATGGACGCCATATGGTGAATTCAATTGAGAGTTTATAGCCAAACCACCATCACCACCAAATGATGCTCTACCAGTTCCTGCCACTGTTGAAATCACACCATAACTATTAATCTTTCTAATTCTATGGTTCAATGTATCAGCAATGTAAATTTCACCATTCTGTGAAATATGAACACCATTTGGAGAGTTTAATTGTGAAAGAACAGCAAATCCACCATCACCACCAAAGGATGCTCTACCAGTTCCAGCAATAGTTGAAATCACTCCATAACTATTAATCTTTCTGATTCTATGGTTCAATGTGTCAGCAATGTAAATTTCACCATTCTGAGAAATAGAGAGACCATTAGGTGAATTTAATTTTGCTCTACTAGCTAAACCACCATCACCACTAAAACCATCACAATCAGAATGTTCATTACAGTTTTGCTTTCCAGAAACAATGGTCACCAAATAACGTGAAAGGCAAACAGAAAGAATTCTATGATTTAACACATCTGTCATGTATAATTCATTTCTAAATAAAACAGCCATGGTTGGTTTAAACTTGTTACCTGTTTGCATATTAATTGGTAATGTGAAAATTGTACCATTCATAAATATTTTTCTAATTCTTCCATTTTGTGTATCGACAATAAGTGTTTCAGTGTAATTATTATTGCTGAGAGGGGAAATACTTATTGAATAGGAGGGAGAATTTAATTGGGCATTGATAGCCAAACCACCATCTCCTTCCATACCTGCTGCTGATATTAATCCACTTCCTGCAATTGTTGAAATATATGATAATTTAGTGGTGGAACTTGTAGTTGCTGCTGTTGTTGTTGTGGAAAAGATTGTCATCATCATCAACAAGAATAATAACAGGACAATGTTGTTTGCGCTTCTCATTTCATCTCGAGCTCTCTTCATTTTTTAACAGTCGGTTTTGGTAAACTCTTTCAAAAGTCATCGTTGTAATATTTTTTACATTTTTGTACGTTTTTGTGTATTTTGCCGAATCAAAAGAAAAATGGGGAAAATGGAGTTAAGGTTCAAAAAAAAATAAGAGAGCATGTTGACAACTTGTTGTCCATCATTCTGTTGTTTTTCTAGAGAAAGTACCCACTATCAATCCATCAATAATAACACAACAACCGATAGTAATAGCACAACAACAACAGATAATAGTATTAACATGATGATTTATTCCAAAATATTACAATTGAGTCAAGATATATTTTGCAATGTTATTATTCCCTATTTTAATTGGCATACTTTGATTGCTTTTGCTGGAGTTTGTTCCGAGTGGAGAAGAATTGTAAAAGAAAGTGATACTAGAGAAATCAAGTGTGTAAATGTGAAGCATAAATCAGCAAGATACAGATTTGAATCATTAAATGATGAGGAGGAAATGAGTGGATTGATGAAAGGTGACCTCTTGCAAATATTCTCACAAATGGAAATAAGAACTTTTCCAGAATTTGAGGAAACTATTTTTCTTAACAGATCTTTTTTTAAAAAGTTATTCAATTCAAAAAAACTGGAATTATTGACATTACAAAATACTAATATTATTACAATTGTTATTCCTGCTAAAGATATTTCACCAATTACAACACTGAAATTAATAAGTGTTCAAATGGAAGTTGAAAATTTAAGAACTATATGCACTAATTTACTAAATTTAACAGATCTAACATTAATTGATAATGGACTTGATTATAAGGCAACACTTGTATTGACCAAATCAAAGTTGACTCGTCTAACACATCTTACACTTCGTAATCGAATTGGAGATGAAGGTGTTAATCAAATATTGACTCAACCAGGAAATATTAGAACTTTGAAACATATTAACTTTGTTGCAAGACCTCCAGAATCATCTCAAAAAGACAATATTTCATACATAGCACCAATTAATAGTTCAATTTTACCAAATCTTGAATCTTTTTCAATAGATTTGGAGATGTCGACAAAATCAATTATGAATGTGTTGAATAGTGGTAATTCATGGAGAGAATTGACTTTTCTTCACTCACATTTAAATAGTGAATGTGTGAAACAAATTGGAAAAATTCATACACTCCAAAAACTTTGTTTTCAATCAAAATTGGAAGTAGATTTACCTTACAGATGTTTATTACCTCTTCAAAATAATCTCACTCACCTAGAAATTGGTCCTGTTGACAATAATACATTCTCTGAATTGAGTGAGGGTAACTTTCTTAATTTGAAATATTTATGCATTCTAAATACAAAACAAGGAACTGAAATAGATGAATATGTAATACGAAAATTCTGTGAAAAAGTCCAAAATCTAACCTATTTAGAGTTAAGAAAAGTAGTAATGAAAAGTGGATGTATGCATCACATATCCCAACTTTCAAAAATTACTGATTTACGAATTATTCAAACACATATTGATAGTGAAGAAATGAAATATTTATCAAGAATGAGTAACTTGACAACATTATATTTAGGAAGTGAAATTACATTTGATGGAATTTCATATTTATGCAACGGAAATTTACTAAATTTACAAACTTTAAAGTTTACAAGAGTTCCTTCAGGCAAGTTCAAATATGACTCAAAGTTTACATCAAGTTTAGCTCATTCAAATTTTCCCAAATTAAGATACTTGAGTTTTTATTATGAATTTGATATTTATGCAACTGATATGTTACATTCTGGACCATCTCTGAAAAATTTGATACATTTAGAACTTTATTGGGTAGATTTAACAATTACACCTATTTTAGTACCTATAGTCAATAATCTGGCACCTAAATATCTGACTGGAATTGGAGGTTTTGCAGCCCTTAAAGCAAAAGTCATATCACAATTAAGACAACCAACAAAAATCAACTATTTGATTGCATATACAGATATACGAATTGATGAATTTATTTAATAAAGCAAACTAATTTATATTATTAACAACAAAAGCAACGGCAGCAACCTTTAGATTTTTTAGAACCAACAAATCTTTCTTCACTCTTCCTTACTTGCCAAACCAGGAAAATTTTGATGAATACAGTAGAGAGCAATACAACAGACATTCCAATTAGGCCAACAATCTGCACAGACTTGACCACTGACACAAAAGTTTGAAAGGACATTGTTCCATCACCAATTACTGCACCATTAAACAATGCTACAAAGAGTACAAAAATAAAAAGGTGAGCTAAAAATCCAGAACTAATCCAAAAGTAAAAAGTATAGAAAAAATATTGTCTTCTCTTTTTAAAGGAGGCAGAGGTAAGGTAATCCTTAAATTCAAGTCCAAGAAGCAAGTCAATAATGGTAATCAGGATTGAAAAAGTTGTAATACGAACAACACTGCTACTGAAAAGGCTGAATAAATTGGTGAATCCTCTTGATGCCATGTACCAACGAATGTCTGCAATGATCTCTTCATTGTGGTTTGTTATATTGTTTGGTGTGATATTGCTTGAAGAATTAAGTGTCATGTTGCTAATAGGTTTTGATATGAATGTAGAATTTATGGCTTTTGCCAAATCATTTGCAGTTGTCTCAACTTTGTAAGCAAAACCAGCATTTGAACCAAGGGACAACAACAAAAGGAACAAACCCATCCAAATTCCAAATGATATGTTGAACAATGCTATCAATGAAGCTTCTCTTGGCTTTTGCAATGAGTTTTGTTGAGTCTTGATCGATTTCTTAAACCCCAAATACTTTTCTTCCAAAGCTCTTATACTGGTTAGCTGCTCTATTTTATCAACATTGTCGTCTTTTTTCTTGAGTAAAATTTCAGTACCAACAATCAAAGTCTTCAAATTGGAAATAAGTACAAGAACATATCTATGTTTGTATTGTGTTTTAGGTGGCTTAAAAACAAATTCTTTGGCATCCAAAAACCATTGTTCTTTGGAAACTAACATCAATTTAGACAAGGGACTATCTTCTGTACCTGCATTTTGGATTGCTCTACCAAGATCTAGGAACCATTGATAAAGTGTGGTGTTGTCCTCTTCTTCTTTTAGGGTTGCTTCATTTCGTGCTGCTTTACTTCGTGCTTCAGGCTGTTTATCAAAATCACGAATGTTAACCATGCTGAAAGTGCTCTTTAATATTTTTTTTATCCAAAAATTGAATTAGGTTTCACGGTCAACCAGACAAAACCATTCAAGAGCTCAATCGCACCGTATTATTTTCTGTTTAAAAGTTAATATACTTTTAATAGCCGAGAAAAAATAACACAAGGTTACAGGACTGAGAATGTCATCTCAGAACAAAGCAAAAGGCAAGAAAACCAACAAAGGTTGTTGTGGTATTGTGGCACGCACAGGAGACACCAGCGACTATGCTTGGCGTTACAAAAAATGGAAAAAGGTGGGAAAACTTATCAAATTTGCCTCTACATCCTTCCACAACTGTCATAATTTTGTACAAGCAAATGTTGAGAAAATACGAAAGTACAACACTTTGGGTGATTTAGAAGGAATTGACACTACAGACTATGTTGGAGAGAGAATTGAGTTGATTGCCACTAGCTACTATGGTTTGAAGGGTGTAATTAGCAAAATACCAGATTCACCAGTCAACACTGAAATAGCTTTTTACGATTTTTATTTTGGGGAGAATGGTGCAACTACTTGGACATCGTTTTGGCACGGTGTAGATATTACAAAGTTGAATAGCCTTTACAAAAATATTTATAATAGTGTTATCCTTGTTGATGGAAATGTTTTGGTAGAAGATGTTGAAGCTTTAGTAAATCTGTTTGCTAACCAAGATGCTAAAAATGGTTGGGAGGGGAAAAGAAAATTTCTTACAGCTATAAGAGAAGTTGAAAAGAAATACGAAACTCTTGAGAAAGATATCAAAACAAACAAGAAGGACTTTGTTCAAAAAAGAGAAACCTCACTTGTTTCATGGTACAATCTTGCGTTCGGTGCTGCTATCAGTTTGTTAATTGTAATGACCACTCTTAGTGATCTCATTCCCTTCGACACTTTGTCAGGGTTAGGAATTGACAAACAAGGCCCTATAGGTATCTATCCAAGCTACTTCAGCAGAAATGATACTACTCAGTATACTGATCATAATCAAAACTTCAGAGATAGCAAAATATTGGCTTCTATAGTCGATATTTTAAATTCAAGCTTTTTCAAAACAGGTTCATATGCAGCCTTTTTGACAATTATGGATGCCATGTTAAATTCAATCAACAATAAGAGTATATTGATTAATAGTGATACCGTTACAAATGTTCTCGAGGTTACATTTAAATTCATTACTTTTATTACCATTATCTTAAACATTGCCATTGGTATCAGTTTTAATACAGCCATTAATTTAATAGCTCCAAATGAATACCTAAAGCTCATGCTTGGTGCATTTTGGACTCAAGTTGTTGGTAGTATTTTGTTTATGCTGTTTATACCTGCATTCGGTTGTTTTAGAATTTTAATGAATAGACAATTTAGGAAGGCAAAAAACCAAAAGAAAAGAAAATACTACAGCTATCACAATACCAAAACACACAGCATTCAAAATGTGAACTATAGTGTGTTATTTACAGAGCCTGTTATTCAAGCATCTAACTCCACTGAAGAAATTGAACTTCAACACAGAGAAATTGGAAATAGACAGCATGAGCTGGATGTTGCCATCACCAAGCTTAAAAATGAACCTCAAAAACAAGCAATTGAGAAATGGAAAAGTTGGCATTGGTTGGAACTAGAAAATGATTTAAACAGAACTTATTGAAATCAAGATAAAAACCACAACTCTGGATAATCAAATAAATGAATGAAATGAATCTTTATATAAACATTACTACCTTCACGTGATTCTTCTTTGAAAGTTGTTTAATGGAGTGTGATCCAAGATAGAGTAATTGTGGTTTCTTGATAATTAATTCTTCTATTATACAATTTTGTAGAATAGAAATTACTCCCCTATAATCTATATACCTATCACAAATAAAGAGTGTTTTAACATTAAGAGTGTGGTCAGTGTCAAAATGTATTGTTCCCTTATTATTAATATGGTCAAAAATGGAAAGATATTTCAATGGACGGTGAAATTTGGCACGAATTAAGTATTCAAAGCCAATATATGTAAATTCGTTTTCTTCTAGAATTAATGTCTGTATATTATCCAAGTTGTGATGTTCTAAATACTTCAATCCGTCATCTCTTAATTTACAACATTTTAGATTGAGATGAACCAGAGTTTTCATCTTGAAAATATATCCACAAATTGTTGATTGTATTTTACTATATCCCATATCTAGTTTTGTCAAGTGTTTTAAATTGTAAATGTATTGTCCACAATTTGTAGGTAATTCACAATTTGAAAGCTCTAATGAAATTAAACTAGTATATTTGTCACAAAGTATTCTAGATAAATTCAATGATGATACTGTGTCAAGATCTGAAAACAGAATATGTTCCATATCCTTATTAAGAAATTGTTGAACATCTACATTATTAAGAGGTCCATTATAGGAAAATGATTTGAGAGAGGGTATTTGATGTACATATGAAAAATCAACATCGTAGCTCATAATGCTCGTTGTCAATATTGCTAAATACGTTAATTCAAGACCATAATTAAATATTTTCTCAAGCACTAATCTATCAAATAATCCAATAATTTCCAATGTTCTCAAATGAGGAAATTTAAGTGTATCAATATTAAAACTAAGAAATTCCTCTGTGTTCAAACTCTTAACATGAAGGGTATTGAGTGATGAATTGAAATGAGGATTGAACACGGCAGAGAATCCTCTCTCAGATATTATTTTCTGCTCAATAATAAGACTCTCTAATTGATTATTATTAATAATAAGATCAATGCACTCACAATCAACATTAGTATGTAATAAAATTAAATTTTTCAAATTTTTAAATTGAAATATTAATTGTTCAATATTGTTTAGAGAAAGATTAATTTGATTAATGGTTAGAAATGTGAGTGATTCAGAAGGGAAAATCATAATATTTGTACGGCATAGTGTCAATGATGTCAATTTAGTTGACATGAATATTCTTTTGAATTGTGATAAAGTTAAATTGCAATCAGAGAAATCAAATTTTGAAAACATTAATAAAACTTGTTGGTTTTCACTCTTGTTCTCCATTTTCATTGGTATTTTCTTAAATTCACTCCTATGATATAATACATTAGAGAAACTACCTTCGGAAGCATCAATAACAATTCTTCTCCACGATGAACAAACACCAGCAAATTTAATAATTTCATTTTGATGCAAGCATGGAAGAATAATGTAAATAATATCATCAGAGAGCAATAATTGCCGTGCTGATTCTCTTCTTGGTTTGTTATTCAACTTTAGAAAAGGTAACAGGCGCATTTAGGCTATTTTTTCTGTTTTGGATTTAAAATCACTTTTGGTATTCATGGTTATAAGGTGATTTTTTTAAAAGTTTTTTTAAAATTTTCCACATTTTTAAAAAATAATGTCAGCATCCAACAACAGAAACAATTTGGTGAGTGAGGAGGAGGAGGAGCTTACTATTATCGAGGAGGAAGTACCACAACGCTCATCATCATTACCACCACAAACTCTTATTGTTGTACCAAATAATCATTTGCAAGCAACACAAAATGTCTTGACTCAAATTGAACCCATAACAGATGAGATAGTATTGACAAGAACTAACAACTCAATTTCCACAATTAATAGTTTATCTGATGGTGTAATACCAAGTTCATCAACAGGTGGTCAACCTGTTACATCTATAGTTATTGGTACCAATGGACCTATGCAAACATTAAATATTGGAAATACCTTGATTTCACATGGTGGTAGTAATAACATTGGTCCAAATATGTCTCTTGCTCAAAAGTTGATATCTTACACTCGACTAATGTCAACCATGACACGCAAAAATATTGTGCACGATGACTATGGAATAATTATTGAAAAGTTTGATAGATTTGTAAAGGATACTCTTCCACCTAAAGAATTTAAAGATGCGTATGAACAAATCAAAATCCTACGTTCTTCTAAACTTTCAAAGAGTAGAAACAATACAAAAGAAATTGACCACGAAACATTAGAATCACTCAAAGACTTATTTTTGGATAGTGAATTCTACAGCTACCAAAAAACCACCAATGAAGCAGTTAGAAGTATGATAAGCTGCTTTTCAGTCCTGTTTTTGATGACAACATGTGTCTCATATGCTATTTTCTTTACCATGTTGAATCGTTTATTGACTGATTCTAATTTGATGATCATTAATAATGGCTATGTTGCAAATCCTCCTAGTGATAGTTGCCAAAGATTTGAACAGTATAATAGCAGTGTTTTGGTTGGTTTGACAGAATTTGTTAGAAATTATATTGTTGCTATTGCTGTTCCTCTTGCAATTACTTGGTTTGGTGATTTTAATTCCCAAGTTAGAGATCAAGCATATGACTATTTTATGGACATGTTCAGTTTCTCTCTCTTAATTCTTTCATTTGGAATTTCATGTATTGTTGCTGTAGCTTCTGTGGTCATTCAATTTTCTTGGCACATTGCAGTCTACACTGATTGTTCCTCCAATGCACAAGACAAACTTAATGTTGTGTTAACAGTCTTTGTTTTGGCGTTGGCTCAGGTTTTTATTTGGGTATTGTCTTATATTTGTTACTATAGCATGACGTTCCACAAACGATATGGTAAGCTCATTCGTGATGCAATCTCAACAATAATTGACAAGGTCTTTTGGGATGAGGATGAATCCAAAGATAGAAACGTTTCAGAATTTGTGAGAACGTTTAACCAAATTCACAAAATTGATAGAAACCCTCTTTATTTGCAAAACGATCCATATTACCTTCAACAAACGCACAATGTGGTGAGAAAACGTCCAAATGCTTCAAACCCCAGAACAATACGAACAAATGTTTTGAATCAATAAGCTTGTGTGATGATTCTTCGCTAATAATTATCAAGCTTTCGAATAAAATATTCGAATAACCATTTAATTAATTTAATTATGCATAATTGTCAACTTAACTTTCACACCCTAAAAAAAATACCGATACAACCATGACAGACAAACTAGAAGATAACGAACGCATCAGAAAGTACCTAACCCTATTTAACTTTCTCATGATATTTATTTCATGTATTGGCCATGCAGCTTTTTGGAGTAATGCTTCAAGATTACAAACAGACCCATATATCATTGTGAATAATGTACCTGGTTATGGTTGTTCTTTATCATCTACTACAGAAACAAACACAACAACAATGGCCAATATAACAAATACCAACAGTACATCTCCTGGATCCATAATAGTTGACTCTAGAGACTATACAAGTATTGCTTTCCAAACAATGTTCTTTGACTATATGAGGTGTTTTTTCATACTCTTAGCTGTTCCGGCAACTTTTATTTGGTATTCATATTTTTCAATAGATTTACAAGAAAGGGAATATCGAAATTCAAAGGCAGGATCTGCTTTGCTAATTATTTGTTTAATATTTGGTATTGTGTGGTCTATTAGTTCAATTGTATTATTTGTTCTAGTAAATGGAGCTTATAATAATTGCAAATCTAAAGACTTTGAAAGAATTACAGGACTCAGTTGGGGTTTATTGGTTTTATGTATTCTCAATTTTACAACTTGGTCTCTTTCTATATTACTCCAATATAAGTTTGTCTCAATTCCCAAATTTGCAAAATATTTATCACTTTGTACAGGATGCAAAGTTATTATATGTGCTGGTTGTTGCATTCCTAGTAGCTTTTGTTGTTTGTGTTTTAAGAAAAGAAGATATAGACTTTACAAAAAAACCAAAGATGAATAAATTATTTCATGTTACTCGAACGATGAATTATACATTGTAGGGTATGGTTGAAAACCGAACTGAACCGTGAAAGCAAACATTCGATAGTGCATGTAGAAGCCTAAGCAATTGTCACAACACATTCCAATAAGAAATTATTGTAATGGCAAATTCATTAACAAACAGAATGTGAATTTTCTTATTACTTTTGTAAACGGATAAATCACTCAAGTTATCCAAAGAGCACCACTTTGCAAAATTTTATAAAATTAAATAATTTATTTGGTTGTAAAATGTAAAAAAGTTGATTTAGAATTGGCTTGAGTTGTTCATTATCACTATAATAAAGGTAAATTTGTAAATGATTTTTAAAATACTTACCATCTGTGAAAATTTTTGAGTAACGATTTAATAATATCCGAATAATTAAACAATAGAAGTTTGTTAAAATAATGTAAGAAAATAATATAAAAAAAAAATAATTACCGTCTATCTTCAAGATCATCTGACAACTTGACTGGCCAGCCTCATTTGTTGTTGCTTACCGACAAGTGTTTCAAAGACTCCTTGGTCCTTCATGTCCTTAGTTCCCTTATTCATACATTGTTCGCCCTTGACATTTGAAACAAATTCGATTGGATTGTAACCAGAGTTTTGAGCAAGAGCAAGCGGAACGAATTCCAAAGCATCTGCAAAAGATCTAATAGCATATTGGTCAACATCTGTAACCTTATCAGCTTCGTTAGATAATCTCAATGAACAAGCAATTTCAGCAGAACCACCACCATAAACAATTCTATTGTCTCTGACAAGGTTTCTTACAACGCAGAGAGCATCATGGATAGATCTCTTGGCTTCTTCAATGATCATCTTGTTACCACCTCTGACAAAGATAGTGACAGCCTTAGTGTTAGCACAGTTTTCAATGAAAATCATCTTATCAGATGTTGTACCGAAAGTGACTTCACGGACTCTTCCAGCAGAACCCAACTTGTCAGCTGACAATTCTTCAAATCTTGGAATGATACGGCCTCCAGTGGCAATAGCAATCAATTCAATTTCAACACCACCAACCCAACGAACGGATGGAAGTTCATTTTGGAGAAGCAAGTGGTTAGCTTCATCATCAAAGCCCCATTGACAAATAATGAGGTTGGCTCCAGAGTCTTTACATCTCTTAACTTGTTCAACAAAGTAGTTTTGTTCGAGTTCATACAATGAATTATACTTTTCAACAGTGTCAATTTCAACGTTACCCTTATTCTTGGTCTTTGGAGGTTCGAATGGGCAAGTCAAAATAGCAATCTTGGCATTTTCAATTGATTTAACCATTTGTGGGTGACTCATTTCTTTGTCAACAACAATACCATCAACAAGGCATGAATCTTCGAGTCTACCACCAGTCTTTCCTTCAACTTTAATCAAATCCAAGTTAACATCCTTTCTGTCAATATCGGCAACATCAAGAACAGCATCAACACACATCTTGGCGAACTTTTCTCTAAACTTGTTAATAATCTTAGAGTTAAGTGTTGTGGAAGCAGTCTTGAAAAGTGGTTCAATATTATCCTTTGAGAATTCAAGTCTATCACTGATTTTTTCCAATTCATCACAGGCAAATTCGCAAGCCTTTTCATATCCTTCAGAAATCTTGGTTGGGTGAATACCACGATCAAGTAATTCCAATGATTTTTCGAGCAAAGCTCCAGCCAAAACAACAACACCAGTGGTACCATCACCAATTTCGTCGTCTTGTGATTGAGAAAGTTCTACTAAAAGCTTAGCAACTTGATGGTTGACTTGCATTTTTTCAAGGATTGTAGCACCATCGTTAGTCACTGTAACATCTCCATCGGGACTGACCATCATCTTATCCATCCCTCTTGGACCAAGAGAGGTCTTTAATGTATTCACAACTTTAATAGCAGCTTGGATGTTAGCCTATTTAATTGTTGTTGTTGTTGTTGTTGTATTAGATATTATTAAATTATTATTATGATTGATATTGTTGTTATTGTTGTATAGAAGTCAAAAATATTCGGTACAATTTTTATATTGGTGATTCATGATAATTATCAGTACAAACCTTGATGGCTTCCAATCCCTTCAATCTTTGTTTCTTATCTTGTTCCCTGAGGATGATGAATGGTCTTCCAAATTCGTCAAATACAACAGACATGGTGAAGGGTGAGGGTGTTAATGTATTTTTTTTGTATTGTGGTTTTTCTTTCCGGCTGCTTACCGGCCTTTGATGAGTTGAATGGAGAAGAAAACTAGCAAGAAGAATTATCTATGAATTGTATGATGAGCAACAAATAACTTTAATAATAGTTTCGTAATGATGAAACAATGTTGTAGTAATGTATTGTGAAAATTCGATAGCAGAGGAATTTCTTCTGTTAAATGTCAAATTTATTCCTTCATCCAATGTTGAGCACCATGTCAATTGTACAATAGTGTTATGATTAAGGACGACAAAATCAATTAAACATTCTAAAAAAACATGCCTAAACAAACCCCAGGAGAATCTTCTCTATCAAACCAAAACAGAAAGGGTTTGAGTGCAGAAAAATCATCAGCCTTGACTAATCTTGAGGAAATTTTGAAAGGCTTGAAAGAGTGTAGTAAGTAAATCAGCATTATCTCATGTTTCCAATACTCATCCTTATTCAAGGTGATAATATGAATATCATTATTGAGAAGGAAAAGCAGTAAGTGCTACTATTAAAAGAATATATTCCAATTATTCAAAAGACTTCATCAATCTTCCTCGATTCTTCTCTTTGGTATGGATTTTTGTTCTAAACAGGTTGATAAAGAAGTGCAACTTGTTGAGAGAAGATCCAAGCTTCCATCTCGATCAAACAATCAATCTTCATCATCTCATTAATATTGCAGCTCAATGTTGAACAGATATAATCAGCACAACTTCCGACAATAAATTCTTGTTGACAAAATTGTTATCCCACACACCACATATTGTTTTTAATAAATTTCCTAATCACTCAAAGTAATCTTTATTCCATGAATAATAAGAGGTCTCTTTAGGGTTTTTCTTTTTGTGTTAATGTTGATAATGGTGATGAGTCATCGTTTGTTGGTGCTGTGTTTTCTAATGATTTTTTGTAAACATTTGAATTTTTTTCAAGCTTTGCAGCTGACGTGGTGAAAAATGAGCTTCAGCAAACAAGCAAGTAAAACCACACAACACACATAAAAAATGTCAACCAGACTCGCCGCTAAGAAGGAAGACGAAAAAGTTTTGACCCAACTCGTAAGAGAAGCCAAAAAGGACAGAACTATCAACTTTAATCAAAATCTCTTCTTCTATCTTGTAGCATTAGTTTCCACTATTTTACCATCATGTTAGTATTTAAATTTATGAACTTAAATTTCGATCAAATTTATTATATGATGATGATTGATTTTATTATTGATGAACAATATTAGATCTTTTCCAAGGAGTTTTGAATTTGGAATTCACTGGAGGTACTATTTTACTCTTCCTCATCGTCTCTTGTGTTTCTGCTTATTTCCTTTCTAAAGCTTATGTTTTCAATTATTTGCGTAAGAAGCCAATTTTGACTGATAACTATGAAAAGATTGTTACCAATGCTAAGGGTTCATTCAACAAGAAGGATAAGGAAGAAGCTTATGCCAAGAAGGATAAGTTGGCTGAATTAGGAGCTACTGGTCACGCTTTGTTCATTTCTAACATTATCTTCTTCGCTTTGGTTTTGTTCTTCTCTTTCTATTCCTTGAAGAGAATTGATGTCCGTATCAACTATGTTGCTTCATTGTTGTTGTCTTCATTTGGTGTGAACTACATCTCCAAGCCAAGATCTGCTTAAATTTGATAATACATTAAAACATAATATTTAAAAATCACGTAATTATATTAATATAAATTAAAATTTATTCTTCTTCATCATATTCATCTTCGGATAAAGGTGCACGTTGATCACCAATAGTCGGAGAGGATGGCATGTTTTCTTCACCACCATTTGGTGCACTTTCTTCCATGTTTTCATCTTCATCATCGGATTGAACAGCTCTCTTCTTTGCTGATCCTCTATCGGATGGTGAAATAATTTCTTCCTCTTCTTCTGATTGTTGTTGAGTTGTTTCTTCTTGCATTTCTTCATCTTCATAAGAAGGTCCTTGCTTAGTTGCTCCAAGTTCTTCAGTGCTGGCAATGATATCTGTCAGAGATTCGAATTGAACTTCTTCATCTGGATTTTTACCATTCAATTTAACTTTAGTGAAAACTCTACGTTTCTTCTTCTTTGGTAAGACCTTAAAGTTGACACCTTCTTGAATGTAGGAATATACACATTGACTGGTATTGTCATCAAATCTCAAAGCAACACACGGTTCAATTTCTGCTTGGGTCATCTTATCTTTAGACATTAAGTGGTTTGGTAATTTGAATCTCTTTTCATTTTCCTTATTAACTTGAACATTGGAGCTATTCTTTTCATAGATTGTACCACCATATTCACGAACTAATTCCACAATATTACCAACAGTCTTTTCACTATTAAATAATTCCTCTTCATCATTATTAGAAACTGGAACATAGTATTGAGCAACTTGAACATTTCTGTCATCAGCTGCCTTTTCTGCTAAAATAATATCATCTGTTGGTTGAATGAGAATAAGGGAATCACTAGCATCCTTTGCTGTTAATTCACCAAAACGTCCTCTCTTTCCTAATAATGTATGATTATCACTTCCAAAGTTTGCAGCCATAAATTTAGTGCCCATTGTGGCAAAATTAGGTAAAAGTGAATAGCAAGCAATAGCTTTAACTTTTTGACCATTTGGTAATGTTCTGGTTAAGGTATCTGATTGGAATTTGGCATCTAATTGTTTAGCCTTTTCAAATCTACTCTTTTCTTCGACTTTTCTAGGAACTGTTTTTGGTTTGATTTTCTGAACATGTTCTTCTTCAACATCTTGAATTAAATCTTCGCCATAACCTTTAACAGCCTTCTTATAATTGATCATATCAACATAAGTTGGAGCTTTAAGCCAGGATGGTCTTGATGACAAGTTTTCAACCAATTCACGAGCAATTTCCTTCTTTGCTGATTTAACTGGTTTCAATAATAATTCATCTTCAGGATCAAGTTTGGCAGATTCATCTTTATAATATACAAAAGGATTAATCAGATTCATGTTGATTCCTAAATTATTTTCTGTCAATAATTCGAATTTGTGATTCTTTTCTAAACTTGTTGTTTTGTATCCGATGAAATTTTCTGTAAAATCCTTTGGATATTCTAATAAAACAGGATCCAATAAAATTTCTGGTAAACCTGTTTGGAATTTCATATTACAAAGGAATGAACTCTTTACCAATTCCTTCAATGGATGTTCAACAGTTTTAAACAATGGAGGAGCTTTGACAGTATTTGAGGATGATGGTTTAGAACGTTGTGAACGACTATCGTGTTTGCTACTAGAGCCACTAGAGCGATGTTTAGATGATGATGATTTAGAGGATGATGGACGTTTTCTTTTGTCATCGTGTGGATGAGAACTAGATGGATTACTAGAATTTCTTGATGAAGATGATGATCGGTGAGAGTCACGATGAGAGTCTCTGCTAGAGCTTCCAGATCTATGATGGGAACCACTACTACTTCCGCCACTACGATGATGAGAGGAAGAAGAGGAACCTCTACTACTACTGCTGTGGTGATGTCTGCTACTACCGCTTGAAGGTGGAGGTGGACCAGCAGATGGAGAACGTGGTTGAGGCATTCCGCTCATTTTTTCTTCTTGTTTTTTAAATATTTATTAATAAATTATTATTATTTTGATGATGAAGGTGATCCGATGAATACAACAACATCAAAAACATCAAAGTGATTAATAATTTGTTAACAAATTAGTATATTAAATTGTTGCTGTTTAACCATGTTGAAAACATTTTGATGACTGTTTTTGTATTTAGTTTGGGGTTGAACATTCAATTTGGCTTTAAATATTGAGGGAAAGAATCAAACCAAAATTTAAGAAGAACTTTTTGCTAATTGCCAACAAATAAATAGTAGGCCAGTTATCTTCTTAATTTCCTCAACCAAATTGAACAAACCAACTATCGCAAGATCGTTGCCTTCACTGTTCATACAGTCAAAGACTGTAGCGGGATTGTCGCCATATTCCTGGCAGGCTTCCCGTCTTAATTGTAAATTGAAAAGAATATTGTTAGAATAGATAGAATTCATAGACGAAAACATTAGATTTAAAAATCAGTAATATTCTTATTCAACATTAAGATTTATACATAGGGAATGGCTACGGCCATATCACGATGAATGCACCTCATCCCGTCCGATTTGAGAAGTTAAGCATCGTCGAGCCACATCAGTACTGAGGTTGGAGACAACTTGGGAACCTGTGGTGCTGTAGTCTTTTTTATTAAGCTCAATTCTTTAACATTAAAAACTATTGCTTTTATTTTACCTTTTAGAAGAAGAGAATAAATATTGTTTTTAATATTTCTCCCTACATTGGTTCTTATTGTTGCTGTCTTTTTAAAAACAGTCTATTTTTATCTAATGACGAAGTTTACAAAAAATGGTGACGAAATGATAGCGAGGATTTCACTTTAAAAACAACCTTTGCATTGAACTTGAATGAAAATTACTCAACAACAAATTGAAAAAAAACAGCAACAATACTTCAAGCTACAACAAAATACATTACGCAACAATGGGTCAATTGCTTTCTAACATGATCAAGAACTTGTCCTTATTCGAAAACAAGCAAGCCAAAATTCTCTTTTTAGGTTTGGATGCAGCTGGTAAAACATCAACTCTGTACAAGATTCAATTAGATGAGAATGTAGATACTATTCCTACTATTGGTTTCAATGCTGAAGTGATTCAATATAAGAGAGTTCAATTCAGAGTTTTTGATATTGGTGGTCAGGATAAGATTAGAACCTTGTGGAGACACTATTATAATGGAACAGATGCTGTCATATTCATCGTCGATTCGAATGATAGAGAGAGGTTTGAAGAGGTTTCAGAAACATTGCATAAAGTTATGGAAGATCCATCACTATCAAATGCCAAGTTATTAGTATGGGCTAATAAGCAAGATATACCAAGAGCCACCAATGTTACAGATCTTTCAAAGATATTGCGCTTAAATTCGATCAAACAAGATTGGTACATCCAACCATGTAGCGCAATGAATGGCACTGGTTTATTCGAAGGTTTAGATTGGTTATCTAGCAAATTGTGAATGTTAAACAAACTCATTTCATAAAAGTTAAACAATTTTCAATCATTGTCTTTTCATCAATTTCACTCTTGGTTGAGCAGTGAATAGTTGCACTCAAACCATTTAATTTTTGTTTAACTGTTTTGACAGTGGCAGCTACTTGAAACTTTTCCTTAACATTGGTTTCGTTTGGACACCATGTGAGAAACATCATTTTGGTTCTGGTTCCTTCTCTGATTTGACAACTTTCGTTTTGAGATGGCATTTCGAAACTTAAATGATAGCAAATGAAACGAGAATTCTTTGGTGGGAGATTGGAAGTCAATTCTTCCAATGAAGAGAGTTGAGACAATTCTTGATCGATTTGAATGGAACTTTCTTGCATTTTTAATACGAGGAACTTGTTATCCTTATTCGAACCCTTTCCCATTCTCATTTCTTCATAGGTTTTGATAATTTCATCACTGAATTGACAATTAAGCATCATTTTGATTAGTTTTGAGTTGTTTTAGTTGTTTAGATATTTGTTTTGTTGTTTTTCTAAAGTTTCGAATACAATGAAAGTATTTATAACTATTTTAAAGTTCAAACTTGTTGCAAATTGGGAGTGGAAAGGAGACAATTTTGAAAGATTGGTGGTGTATCAACCAATAGAATTGTTTCTAGTTTGATTGATAAGCGGAAATAATTTGAAAGGCAAGGAACTTGGAACTTGCAGCAACTTGGTAATATTTTTAAGCTAAATGAGAGTGACAAATCTTTGATTATTTTCTCGGTGGTTTTAAGAGATGAAACTTTGAAAATTGATATTTAGCTAGATTACATATCATCCCTACCTGGATGTAAAAAGTAATAATCATTTATTGGAGATAAAGTTAAAAATTGATCTCGAGTGCCGGGAATTGAACCCGGGTCGCCAGAGTGACAGTCTGGAATGCTACCACTATACCACACCCGATTTCACATGTATATAAACCAATTATGTACTAATTGTATTATTATGAAGCTTCTCGCTCTATTTTCAACAGGTAAGATGGTCAAACATTGAACTACCAGTATTTTCTCTCAGGTGGAGCATTTACCTTGAAATATTCTGGAGCTATAGAAGTTAGTCCCTCCAACATGGTATTGCCACCAATAAATAAATGTTTATAAACAATTCCTTCTTTCTTATATCAGATATTGAAGATTCTATGGGTAAATATCAATGTTATGTTTAGTTGGGATCTATCATACAGAAAGTGTTTTCTTACAGGGATCTTACTATTGGAGGTATTCTTTTAATCTTGCCAACCGTTCATCTTCAATATTAACATCCAATAACTCCAATAAATCCTCAAGAATTAGCTTTTTGTTTTCATCTTTAAATAGTGGATGATGAACAGAGACAGAGTAGTTGTAAGCTAAACCGGTTGGTGATTTACAGGTACAATGGTCCCACTTATTAATATATCGATTCCAATCAGACCATCTGATATTCTTCTCTTTCAAGTGTTTGATATTCTTCAAGCAATGTTGACACTTTCAAAATTCTCCTCCAAAGTGAATTCCATGAAATTCAACAATTGTATACTCACCAACTTGAGTTTTTTGGCATTGATAAGATTGTAAACAACCACCTGATGACCCATTCATAACACTCTCATTTGTGATAATAAAGTTTGAGTTTTTGTGGTAAATTCCAACTCATCATGAGGAACCCATTCAATATTTCCGTTTTGAACTTTTTCAGTGTAAGGAGCACGTTCCAATAAACATCATTAAAATGGTCCCTTGTTCCGATTGAGGCACTACAACCTCCAGTGCTTGCCTTATAAACCTCATTTTTTTTGGTGCAGGTTATAATAAATAGCTCTATAGTAACAAATATTTCAGATTTAGTCGAATTATTAATAACAAAGATAACTTGGTTTGATCTTCTCTGGAGTGCTAGAAGTAAGAATTATTAATTGGCTTAATTAAATAAATTCATCAATTCGTATATCGGTATGTCCAGTCATATAGTTGATTTTTGTTGGTTGTCTTAATTGTGGTATGGCTTCTGGTGAGAAAGCTTTAAGCTTTGGAAAGCCTCCAATTCCAGTCAGATATTTAGGCGCCAGATTATTGACTATAGGTACTAAAATAGGTGTAATTGTTAAATCTACCCAATAAAGTTCTAAATGTATCAAATTTTTCAGAGATGGACCAGAATGTAACATATCAGTTGCATAAATATCAAATTCATAATAAAAACTCAAATATCTTAATTTTGGAAAATTTGAATGAGCTAAACTTGATGTAAACTTTGAGTCATATTTGAACTTGCCTGAAGGAACTCTTGTAAACTTTAAAGTGTGTAAATTTAGTAAATTTCCGTTGCATAAATATGAAATTCCATCAAATGTAATTTCACTTCCTAAATATAATGTTGTCAAGTTACTCATTCTTGATAAATATTTCATTTCTTCACTATCAATATGTGTTTGAATAATTCGTAAATCAGTAATTTTTGAAAGTTGGGATATGTGATTCATACATCCACTTTTCATTACTACTCTTCTTAACTCTAAATAGGTTAGATTTTGAACTTTTTCACAGAATTTTCGTATTACATATTCATCTATTTCATTTCCTTGTTTTGTATTTAGAATGCATAAATATTTCAAATTAACAAAGTTACCCTCACTCAATTCGGAGAATGTATTATTGTCAACAGGACCAATTTCTAGATGAGTGAGATTATTTTGAAGAGGTAATAAACATCTGTAAGGTAAATCTACTTCCAATTTTGATTGAAAACAAAGTTTTTGGAGTGTATGAATTTTTCCAATTTGTTTCATACATTCACTATTTAAATGTGAGTGAAAAAAAGTCAATTCTCTCCATGAATTACCACTATTCAACACATTCATAATTGATTTTGTAGACATCTCCAAATCTATTGAAAAAGATTCAAGATTTGGTAACATTGAACTATTAATTGGTGCTATGTATGAAATATTGTCTTTTTGAGATGATTCTGGAGGTCTTGCAACAAAGTTAATATGTTTCAAAGTTCTAATATTTCCTGGTTGAGTCAATAATTGATTAACACCTTCATCTCCAATTCTATTACGAAGTGTAAGATGTGTTAGACGAGTCAACTTTGATTTGGTCAATACAAGTGTTGCCTTATAATCAAGCCCATTATCAATTAATGTTAGATCTGTTAAATTTAGTAAATTAGTGCATATAGTTCTTAAATTTTCAACTTCCATTTGAACACTTATTAATTTCAGAGTTATAATTGGTGAAATATCTTTAGCAGGAATAATAATTGTAATAATATTAGTATTTTGTAATGTCAATAATTCCAGTTTTTTTGAATTGAATAACTTTTTAAAAAAAGATCTGTTAAGAAAAATAGTTTCCTCAAATTCTGGAAAAGTTCTTATTTCCATTTGTGAGAATATTTGCAAGAGGTCACCTTTCATTAATCCACTCATTTCCTCCTCATCATTTAATGATTCAAATCTGTATCTTGCTGATTTATGCTTCACATTTACACACTTGATTCCTCTAGTATCACTTTCTTTGACAATTCTTCTCCACTCGGAACAAACCCCAGCAAAAGCAATCAAAGTATGTGAATTACAGTAGGGAATAATTACATTGCATAATATATCTTGACTCAATTGTAATATTTTACAATAATTCATCATGTTAATACTATTAATTATTATCAAGTTGTGCTATTATTGATGGATTGATATTTTCTCAGAATGATGGACAGCAAGCTATTCAACATGCTATTTTTTTTTTGAACGCCATTTTTCCATTACAAGCTACAATTCAAAGACAACATTACAATGTCTTGTAAGTCACATTTGGTAAGTTGTTTCAGCATTGTGATGGAAAATAAATGCAACCAACACGCAAAGCTTGAGCTTTAGTATTCAGTTGGAGCTATTAAATTAATTAGAAATGATTAATCGTTCCACCAAACAATTCCGAAACAATTCTCAAATGCTTCATAGGTCATATAGAAACATCCGTCATCTGCATTTCGATATTCAAGTGCTTTTTTAACATCTGGATATTGATCCCACTCTGGACTATTATCTGACCATGGTCCATTGTACTCAATTCTTCCCCATGTATTTCTCAGGTTGACCAATTTCAAATCATGTTCTGGGAATTTTCTATAGCTAAGAAGCGAATAACCGTGAGCATTTACAAGGCCATTAGAATTGATCGAATCAGATCCTTCTTTACCTGGTTTGGTTCCACAAACCGGAACGCTTAATGAGCTGTCCATTAGTTTTTCAATGAGAGGCCAGAAAGTTCCCTTCTTCATCATATCAGTTGCTGTTGTACTTTGACCAGAGAACCAATCTAATTGTTTTGATCTCCCACCAAGGAGCAATGAAAGAATATTAGAGGGATAGAATAGATGAGAATTCGTTTGAGGGTTAATCTTGTCATAATCTCCAACCAATTTTGCAATGCCTTTTTCAATAAGAGAAATCCACAACTCTCCTCTATCTTGAGAATGAGCAAACTTTAAATGTCCATTTTCAGCAGGCAAATAATCATCCAATAGAAGAGTCATTTTCTCATTATTTGGCTCTAAATAGAATGTCAAAGCATAAAGACCTAGCTTTGGATCTATGGCCTCACAATGAGTGAATACTTTCCTCAATAATCTAGTTCTTAATGCAGCCCCACTAATACTAGATATTAAAAAGCAATCTTCTAATTTTCCTTGAATTGGATCCATGACAGAAATATTCTTGAAAATAGCAGGTCTTTTGAATAAATTTTGAGCTCTAACACAATCACTCCTTGGAGGAAAGTCTTCATCTATAAATTTCGAATTCCTCCTTTTTAGCTCATTAACAATATCTTGAACAATTTCAGGAGAATTGAACCCCATTTTACGAGGACCGATTCTCTTATCTTCATTCTTCAATAGGATATTTCTGCAACTAGACTGTTTATCATCATCAATACATGCTGTTGACTCCAGATAGTTAGATTCAATAATATACACGGTGGACTTATCTGAAACTTTCAAGACAAACTCAACTGAACCACATTCGTTCTTCAATAAAAATACGTTTCCTGGATATGCAAATGTAGCCCAGAAAGTTGAGATTGGGGCTGAATATCCGTGAGAAGTTTGATTTCCTTCCTCGTCTACCCTAAATACATTATATTTCCTAGATGTATCATTTCTAATGCTAATATCCACAAGTTCATGTCCATCAAATCTTGACCTAATTAATTTCCAATCCTCCTCACGAGCTTTTGTCATCTTGCAAATTGTTACGTGTTTTGATTGGTCCTCAATTATTTCTTCCTCTATCTCCTCCACTTGATCACCCACCACAATTTCTTCATCATCTTCATCAACCATTTTCCCATCCCTCTCCTCATCATACATAAACATTCCAGGAACAACCTCAAAATAATCAACAGTCTCTTCTGTCGGAACAAAAATCGATACAACCTTCCTCTTCTCATCATTCATTCTTCTCATTATGAAAGGATGAGTAGCACCGGCTTGCTGACAACATTTCCCGCCAGAATTTAAAACTGTAAACGGTTGTTCATTTCCCTCATAATCAATCCAGATCATTTGAATGGGCTCGGAAAGAGTGTTATGGAAAATGATTGGACATTTGTGATCCCATCTCTTGGCACATAGTTTTTTCATTTTTTTAATTAAAAAACAATCTTAATGGAACATGGCCAGCTCAATGTGAATTGAATGACGTCAGTTGATTAATTTTGTTTTTAATTTTCAAAAGAGTCTTGATGGGAGAGTGAACTCGGGTGGTAAACCATTTAATAATAATGTACAATAATACTTGTTCCTATGATATGGAATTCCAATCTAAAATACTTGATTTGACAGATTTGACCATTCTTCCAGTACATGTACTAAAATTAAGAAAGTAAATACTTGAGTAAAGCACAATACCAAATAATATTTTTGGGTTCTTCCAATTGAGTATTGGTAATATCCAAATGTAAAGTTCCAAAATTGTCATAGGCTAATTTGTCAGCTTGCTCATTTGAAATTAATCTCACTTCATCTTTCTTATCTTTCTTTGTTGTGATTAGAATAACTTCTGGTTTTGTAGCATTATTTTTGATTACTTCCACTTTTTCATTCATTGATCGAAGAACATGAGTTGATGAAGGATCGACCAGTAAGAGAATAACCGATGCATGTCTATAGAATGGAAGAGTTATTTGACGAAAACGTTCTGGTCCACATTGATCCCACAATTGCTGTTAGAGTTTGCAAAGTCAGTTTGAAATGTTACTTACCAGCTTGACTTTAGTGGTATCTCCAAAATGGAAATTCTTAATGGCAAAATCCATTCCAATCGTTGTGATATGATGATTATTTGATGGATCCACTGGCGTTTCATTCATTGCACAATTAAGCAATGAAGTCTTTCCACTTGAATAGTCGCCATCCAAAAGTACCTTTGTTAGAAAATCATATTCTGGTTTTGGCTCAACACTAATTGGTGTAGCTTTGGAACTACTTGATGAATTCTTTGAAAACATTGATCCAATAAATGATAAAGCACTACTGAACAATCCTGATGTTGGTGGTGGATCTTTGTAAACTTTTGGTTGTAGAATTGGAATCGTTGGTTGCTCTGCCAAATCAGAGAATCTTTTAAAACATCCCTTCAATATACTCAATTCCACATCGACCCACTTTTCTTTCACATTACATGATTTATCGGAAAGTGTTGAACTCTGAGCCAATTTACAAGCAAATTCATAAACCTGTTTACGTAGTAAATATCTAATAAATTTCTTTCCTTCTTTTGAATGTAAAAATTGATCCAAATCAACAAATACTTGTTTCGGATTATTCGTAATATGTGTAAATGATTCTTCATAATAATTCCAAATTAATTCATAACAAATTCTCTGCCAATATTTACAAACTTGAGAGAAGGTAACAAGTAATTCAACATGGCTGATATGAGAGAGAACTTCTCCGATCAAATCGTTGGGCAAAACTTCAAAGATATTTTGCGCCATTTTTTTTGTAAAGTTTTTTTGCTGGTGACGAATTAACAACCAATCAGGAATTTAATTTATTTACAATTTCTTTTCCAAGTATTCTTCTCTACCAATATTGGATTGAGTGGTTGTTGGTTGATTTAACATTCCACCACTTCCAACGGTGGATTGAGGAACTGTAGTGCCAGATTCTGCTAATTTCTTTTGTTCTCTGGTTGGATAGGTAATGTTGGTGTCAGTGTCATGAGTGAATGGATGTTTGACTTTCTCCTTAATATTTTGCATTGTACTGCCAGTGGTGCTTTGTTGAGGTTGCATTTTGATATTTGTTTTTTTGAATGGTGACTATATCATTTCATACATCTGCAGTATTAAAGGGAATTTCTGTTTTTCCTGAATTGAATAATTTACTAAAAAGGATCGTTGTTATTCGGTATCTTACAAATAGAGGAATTTATCATAATTTACTTTAATCCGTTTTAATATTTTCAAGAATAAATTCAACAAATGGTCATGCACTCAATTATGCACATTAATCCTGAAATCTTGAAATGAATCATTTGGGTATAAATTAAACTCTGCTATCCAATTGAATCCAAGGGAAGTTCCACTCCAAAGGCAATCCAACATGTGAGTATTGAGGTCCACATTGATTCTCAAACTTGAAAACAGGTGTAAATTGGTGAGCTGGTCCACTTCTGAAAAATACAAAATTCCATTTAGAAATAGATGATATTTTACAGTCATATCCACCTCCACAACTCTTTTGTCCATTTGGAACATTTGGAGCTAAATCGTCTCTTGCTGAGATTACCCAGTCAGGATTTCCGAATGAAAATTCATCATGATAATTATCATATTGCATAATTCGTTGCATGGATGGCAGATCTTTGACTAAATGTTGATCTCTTCTGAATATTTCAGATCTGGCACACTTATCATAACTCATATAATGATAAGTCTCTGGAAATTTCTTCACATATTCTGCATATCCAGTTTTTTCATAAATGGAAGGATAGAAAGGAACATTATAAGATGCAAAGTATCCGCGAGTGGAGAGAAGATTTGTTTGATCTGATCCCACCACTGTTCCAGGTATTTGTTCAATTACCCAGAATAAATCCTTTGTCAATTGAGCTTGACCAGGAATAAACTTTTTCACATCGAGAATCATCCACTCATTATTATAGGTTCCTCCATTATTAATACTAAAAACTTCAAACCATTCTCTGCCACTTGTAGCCATTCTATTGGCCAAGACAACTCTAAACCAACTCAACAATGATTGAGGATGAGTATTATCGTAGAGAGTATTATTCAAAATGCCAATGGTTGTCTCGATAACAACAAGACCACCATCAGTTTGATAATAGTCATCATTACTGCCTAATGATCCAGGATAACTCGAAAATGTCACTGTGCGAGACTTTGTGAGTGGATTTGCAAAATTGAGAGTGTATGTCTTCATCATTCTTGTCAAGGCACTAAATACCCACCCAACGGTATGACTGAAATAATATCAGT